CCAGTGTTTTTCAACCTGTGGGTCGCGACCCCCCTGGGGGTCGTGAAGTCTTACACGGGGGGTCGCGGGTAGAAGAAAAAGACAAGTGTTTGTAGGTCCTACACTACATTAAAAAAACTACAATTTCAGCGAGAAGGCTGTACCTGTTTATTATACAGTACAATTGGTTTTTTGATCGACATTCAGGTCTCAACGATGGGTGTAGCCAGAGATGGTCCCGGGTGGGTACGGGCCACCGCAGAAAATGATACCCGTAAAAAGTATTGAGCTGACTTGCAAAAAGAAGTAATAAGTAGAAAAGTAGAAGTTGGAAATTCTCATCCTAAAAAAGAAAGGTCAACAGCATCCCGAGACCAATGTTATAATGAAAAGGAAGTTTCATACGTTATGTGTCTTAAGTTATTGTCGATTTTTCTCAAATTCTCGTTTTAATCAACAATAAATTTTTTCAACAGAAAGTAAATTTAATACATAGTTTTTAAAATCACTGATATAGTTTTAATATGGCCCTAGGGGGGTCGCCCTAATTTTTTAACTTGTAAAGGGGTCGCGTATTCAAAAAGGTTGAAAAACACTGAATTAAAATATGAATTTAAAATTATTATGTGAAATACGAAAATAATTACATTTCCGTTCTAATCATTTATTTATTTAAAAACAATTATTCCGCGATTTATAAACACATTTTGTATAAAACATTTGATATTTATCACTGATATTTGTTAGTAATTTATGCATATATTCTACATTTAAACATTTACCTCTTTGTAAATATTTGTAGAATTTTGTTGGTAGATTTTTGGACATTCTGTTGAAGACGTGGTATTATGCATGTGGATGGCTGAATGATTAACCATGGCTAAAATAGCGATACTCAGCACAGATCTTTGGCAGTACGCTATTGCATGTATAAAAAATGTAGACAATACCACTACGTAACGAGCTGGAACAGGAACTGAAGTAAAAACGTTCGTAAAATTTCAACAACTGAAGTTAAAATTTCAATAAATGTAAAGAGTATAAATATAAGATTTCATAATTAATTCAAAGCTTCAAAAAATAATTACAACATCTACATAGAATATTATTGTTTACGTTATATTTCTATTAAAAACCATTTCTCAAATTCAAATATAATATAAAAATTTAATAAAATTTAAGATAAAGGACTAGCTGCTGGAATTTTACCAAATTAGTGAAACTGATATTAATAGTTGTTTTCGGAGTTACGCATATTTATAAATTAATTTTAGAACATTCTTACCTTTACGTATCATATTTATATCGTAAGGTAAATAAATTTTCTATTTGAAATCGTTAAAAATATGTTTGAATCTTTATTTGTTTATCCTATGATACTGGTTTACTTTAAAAAATAAATTCCAGTTAGAATTTTTTTATTTTTTCTTCCTCTTTTCTTTTCTTATGAAGCAAAGTAATGTTGAGATCTTTTTATTCTTATAACGATGGATTTATATTTTTCTGTTGACGACTAATAATGCTTTAAAATATAAATTTTTCACGAATAATTTTCTACATATCACCACGAATGGAAAAATTAAAGCACCATGTATCCTGCAATATAAGAAATATATATTTAACACGTTTTCTAACATATTTTACTTATATTTTTAATAAAAATTTATTTGTATATAACTAAAAGAAATATCAGTTAATATTCGAGTTTAAAATATAATTATCTAGCAGATGAGCTCGATTTCTCGAGCAAAATGTAACAACAAACATTGAAATTATCAGATCTTTCGTACTTCTAATTCTTCTATTATACTATATAATATAATATAGTATAATAGAAGAATTAGAAGTACGAAAGATCTGATAATTTCAATGTTTGTTGTTACATTTTGCTCGAGAAATCGAGCTCATCTGCTAGATAATTATATTTTAAACTCGAATATTAACTGATATTTCTTTTAGTTATATACAAATAAATTTTTATTAAAAATATAAGTAAAATATGTTAGANACGCATTTTAAAAATTCTTTAAATTGTGTACAGTAGAGGAATAAAGAATTTTGAAAATATGTTAGATAGAGATATATTATACTTTTGAGAAATCTAAATCATTTTGATATTTATATAAAACAAATACTATAATATCATAAGCATTAAAACGAAAACTATATATAGAGCTTTTATTTCATTTTATCCTACCATTGTCATGTTTATCGCCATACTCGAATGGTACAAAATGTCAAGATTTTATTGGTGAAGTTGACACCAATTGAAAATGTGGTATCTTAAATTTTTTCATATATGATATAAATTTTTTTAATATCAACTCTAAGAATCGGTAGCATTCACAGCCGAATATCAAAAAGTAATCTGCCAATCAATCAGATTTTTAAAAAACCGGACTAAATATTTTAACTTGGCAACCTCGAAAACCAATTAAAACATATTGTATGCTGGCCAGTAATTTTGTATTATGTAATTTTCGAATTCGAATGGAACCACAACGCAGGTTCTATAGAAAGAAATGATGTTGCAAAAGAGAATTCAGTAATTCGAGTAAAAATAGTCGTTGACCTTCTCCTGGAAGAGAGGATGGTCAACGACTACAAATTAAGAATAGTCAACTATTAATATTTGATAAGTAATTCATGTTAGACAGGTTGTGATAGCTTGTACGTGACCGAGTTGCTGACCTTATTGTCTAAAAAACTTTACACGGTTTGTTTAAATCAGGGCTGTCGAGTCGTGTAAAAATCTACCTACTTCAACTCTGACCAGGGGCAGACTTGTTATCAAAATAGACCCGGAAATTCTGATGTCATTACGTGACCTAAGAATAAAATATTCAATAGAGTTCTAATATAGATAGAACGTAGAAATTTCTAAGTAATGACACAGTCAATATACAAATATATATTCGATAAGTTTTACTTTATTGGTTGTTATGTATATCATAGGAAAAGTGTAGGAATCAATCAAAAAATGTCCCCTCTCAAATTTTTACATTTTTGATTCCGGACAGCTTGAAATGTCTAGATATGCAAAAGATTCAGTCATTTTTTCTGTATGTATTTATGTTATACTGTGTGGGGAGGACACGATTCTGTTCACCCTTATTGAAGCCTAATGTGAGATAATCCGTGGGTCAGGGGTTAATCTCCTACTGACCACTTAATCGGCAACAGGTTGATAAAACCCGATCTCGGAGTCGGTTGGATGGCTAGGAGGGCAAATCGAGTGGGGAGTGCGTCAGAAAGTCGACAGGCGTCCTTAATTGACAGGAGACAGGTTTAAAACTAAACAAGCATTTATTATATAACTAACTAAGCACTACAAAAGTTTAAATGCGGTTATATTTCAAATATAAATTGGAGTTCGAGAAAGAGCGCTTGTACAAATTCTAACCCCTAAATACCTCTCGGCGAAATGGAGAGAAGACACCACACCCTTTCATGCAGACGACGTTGGCGAACGTCGTCTGTATGGAAGGGTGTAGTGTCTTCTGTGTCTTCTATCCGATGTCCTCTCTCTGTAGCTGGATCGAGTCCGCTGTATGGAGGTTCGGAAGTCGAGGTGGCACTATCACAAAGTATAACTTCCTATGACGAATCGCCTTGAGCTTCCGGAGATTCCAGCTTTTATATCATTAGCGTGGGAAAAAAGTCACGTGATTGACTTTTATTGTCGATGACGGTGCATTCTTCACACCTAATTGTAAACTTCCTCAGCTAGTTGTTATACAATCGGTGAAATCCGATCTAGTATAAATTCTTCGGGTTTTTTCCGAAGATAGTTAACAGAAAATTTAAGTTTTTAAGAAGCCCGAAAAAATCCACGAGCTCACAGTAATAACTTCTGTGCTTTTAAAATAGGAGTCGAATGGTTTAATACAGGAGTTAAGATTAAAGGCGTGACACCGCGGATTTTAGAGCGGTAATTATGTAAATGAAAGGAAACTATCCGTTTTTTTTTCGTTGATTGAAATTTTGTAAACACCCCATAGAAAACCTCCTTGCGGAGTATAGGAGCAAGGTCTCCTCCAACTATGAATAGTTAGGTGGGAAAGTTGACACTTAGCTGTCAGGAAATGCTAGTCATCGTCAATAAACGGACGGCTTCCCACACTAATACTATAAAAGCTCACGCTACTGGAAACAGAGGGCGGACCAACCCATGGAAGTTATTTCTGACTTGTACTTGTGTTGTTGATCTCCATGTTTAGGAATGGAATCCCATCACAGAAGACATACGACTGCCATACCTCAGCCATCCCCTCCAATCTTATGCATATAGTGTTAGAACTTTGTAAACTCTTTTCCTCCGAGTAGCGTTTTATCGCATTTAATCGAGTAGCGTTTAGTCAGATAGACTTGTAACCGAATTTTGTATCTT